GTTAACTCTCATAAAAGGAATACAAAAAGAAGAGACTGAAGGAGGGAGGAGAAACAAGAATGTCCTGGGCTTGGACAACAATCTCTGTGTATCTGTTTGTAACATTCTATTAGTGAAGGCTGTTATTTCAGAAATACCCAGATGGATAACTACTGAGCTTCAGGAGAGCCTTAATATCAACCCATGGTTTTCAACATCAAGTCCTAAATTGCTGCAATAAAGACAGCTGCAAGTTAAAAGCTGCAACCAAGGAGAGTCCTTTGTCTTGTAATGTTCCTGTTTCTTCTTACAGAAGTCTAAATCTTGATCGATCTGATTATATGAGCAGCAGTGAAGAAGACATGCTGTTCACGGTGCTGCACTTCCTTATTTTTCCCTCTTATTGGGACCACAGGAGAGCATGCAAGTCTACATGGGAAGAAAACCCCGTTCTGGGAATAAAATGACTTTCTTTCAAACTATGAGGCCAGGAGAACCGTTTCAGGACTTATTTTCATGGCCTAAAGAATGATATCCAAAATGTTTAGTGTATAATAATGTAGTAAGTACTGCACACCTGCTGCAGTCTGTGCAGCTGATGCAGCCATTAGTGCCAGTAGGCAGCCTAACACCACCACTGGTCAGGAAAGGCTCTTCCTAGAAGTCAGTAGTTTTAGTTGAAGAAAATGAGAAAACATAGTGGGGGGCTGAAAACTAGCTATGCAGAGCTGTCAGCTGCACTAACTCCTTTCTTTCTGTCTGATCCTCTTCAGTCACTTTTGGATGGCCATTTTAAAGGACTGTTGCTAAGTCTCTTCTCAGGTTGCAATGGATTATTTTAGGCTTGCTATAAAAGGATAATTTTGAATTAATATTAATTTGACCTTCTTAAGTTTGACCACACAAGAAATGAATGTGTGCCACAAGCCCTGTGCATATTCTAATAAGTCTACTAACTGCAGAAGCATCAGGTTTCAAATAAATCTTACTAGGATATGAAGAAATAAAACAGCTTTACAGTGAAAAAGAGTAATTTAACAAGCGACCTCTTCCACTGTTCCTTTAACCCTTTTTTAAAAGGCAAGATATCAGTACAGGAGTTCCTCAGAAACAGAAGAAGATTCAGGGGAAAAAAAAAAGGTGCTAGAGGAGCCTGCTTCAACTGAGGAAGGTTCAGGATGAGATCTTATCTTGCTTCAGTTTGAAAATTTTAAACCTAAAATAGTAGTAAATGACTCCATTAGAAACAGAAGCACAGGTCTTCTTATATATACACATTTTACATGGGAGACAACTAGCACTCCGCATTCGAATAACGGCAATGAAAAAGAAAGGAGGCTACGCTTGCTCTAACCAGTCAGCAGTGCTCAACTAAGACCAAGGAGGACTAAAAACAAGTGCCACAAATTAACAGCATCTTCATTGAAGTACTTGGATCTCTGGTACTTGGAGTGTATGTGCAGTAGGAGAGATACACAATGCAGGTGAATGTTGAAAAAATACAAGTTGCAGAACAGTGATAATCAGTCATTCATCCTCCAATTATCAACACATTTTACTTCCAAAAATAATAGCACAAAGGATACAATTTCACTACTAAATACATGCCAGTTATGCCACCATTTATCAAACATCATAGTGCAATAGTGACTGACTGATACTATTTTCAAAACCAGAATAAGACAAAGGTAAGGCAGGAGAGGAGTCGGTTCAGATAATTTGTTACTTTCTGATTATGTCTGTTTAAAAAAAAAACAAACTGTGTGTGGCAATGCTGTCAGGCACCAGTTATGCAGTTGAATCATTAAAATAGCTCTTAGCACAGTTTTGGCACACGCCAACTAAGCACTTTCCAAAACAACTCAAGGTAGTTACAAAGTTGACACAGACCAGGAATCCTTTTCTGCCTGCACAGGGCCATTCCACATGGAATGTAAGGCAGTTAAATTCTATGGATGCAGGTGTTTTGTGCCTGGGGCCATGATGCTCAAGAAAAATCATAAACATGTTTAATTTATTAGAATAGGCATTTATTAGAGTAGGCACTGCCTCTCCTTGCAAGTACCACAGATCTACTAAATTTCTTCTCTGTATGTTATTTAAGAGCAGGTGATTTTCTGCTGGGTAGTGCTTTTTGTAAACAGAGAGTATGGGGATACACTTGGCACATCTTGCTTACATATGATAACCTGAAGACAGCTTTTCATATACAGTCCTGAGTAAAATGAAAAGCAACCACATACCCAGCCTCAACATCTTACAGCAGTTCTTCCAATTTCAACACAATCAACAGGCACATTTATGTTAGCATTCAGAAAGAAAAGAAAAAAAAGAAATCCCAACACCCACTCACAGTGTAAACAAATGCAAAGTTATAAATGAAAGCTAGGGTGCAACAGTTGAAATTTATGTTAAACAACCTCTCTTAAAGCTGCCTTCACACCAGAGGGCTGTGAAGCGTCTAAAGCAACATCTATTTTTGGTGAAGGTACTCAAGAGCCATAGAACTACAAATCACTAAAGACGCATCTCTGCTCTGTGCAAACCATCAGGAAAACTAATAAAGGACATGCAGGTCCTTTCAAAGAGTCAACCTGCTTGTTGTAGATAAACATTGATGGCCATAAAAATTCATCTGGATTTCTGAGAAGGCTTTCAACAAGCTCTCTTATCAATTGCTCTTACGGAGTCTGAGAAGTAATGGGATACGAGAGGAATAATTCTGGTAAAGATAGAGACCAGTTGCAAGGAACTGCATAACTTTAATCAATTGTCATGTGATTTGCTTGCAAAAAGGCAGATGAAACAAGAAGAGATTCTCTTAAAGTCACATGGGCTTTAAGCTGATCTTTACTACTCAGGAACATAATCTTGAAACGATGGAAACATCAATTCAGAGCTCAGAAGAGGCTAAAAAAGTCAACCATGCATTGGGGTTTACCATGAAAAGAAAAGGGGGCATTCTTGTGCTGATGTATAGTCCAAGGGTGTCCCTGAATGCCATTTGTGATGGAAGAAAAGTGCACAAAAGCACAATAAAGACATAAAAACTATGGAGAACTTCTATTTTAGGAACAATTAAGTAGTCATGAACTGAACGGGATGGGATAGAAGCTTGCTGAAGAATATTAATAGAGAATGATTGCTCAGTATCTCTTCCAATGTGAAAAAAACGTAGGAAGAGACTAAGAAACTATTATATAAGCAGTAAACAAACAGAAGACTGTTCACAAAGTACATAGTTCAGCTGTGGATATCTGGGCTACAGGATGTTGTAAATAGCAGAAGTTTTTAAGAACAAAAGCAATGAGACAAATTCACTGACAGTCCACCTAGAACAGCTTGGGATGAGGGTGGGGAGAAAGGTTCAACTGGAAGCTGCTGGGAAAGTACACCAGAGGAAATACCTTGCAAGCTTGTCCTGCTTTTATACACTACCCAAGGTCATGTTTCTCCTGGCTGCATGCCTTCAGAGAACAGATACTGGGCTAGATGGACTTATGGATTGACCTTGTGTTCTGCCCATTGCAAACTATTTTACACAGAGACATGCAGTACTTGTATTATATTACCCAATGGCATAAGCTATGGTGAGCTCATCAAATTCTCTTTTCCACTCTCTGCATTGTCTTCCCACAGAACAGCAAATCTAGTCCAAGATTATGGACACATGAAAAACTGAATCCAAGATATTTAAAGTACTATTTATAGTCTTTTCATGAAAATCAACTCTTCTGGTTTGGGAACCTGATGAATTACGAAGTAAGAGAAAAAGTTAGACTCAGACTGCAGAATTATTTCTCATGGAAACAAAAGCCAGTAAAAAACCTGTTTCCTTCCACTCCACAAGCAATTTTCTTCGCCTTCCTCTTCTTGAATATAAACAGACAGGCAAATTCAGATGTCAAAATGCCAAAAGATAGTAAATTTTATGTAAAATTCTCTCACAAAGAACTGGAGGAAGAAACGAAACACAAATCACACTAATCTACTGTGTCACAGCAATGGCTTCTCAATTAAAATTTTTGAAGCACTGACAGTCTACACAGATACACAAAGTAGCACTAGCTATGGTAAAAGAAGCATTTTACACTTCTCAGTTCATGAACTAACCTGGCACGAATTCCATATAGCTCCACTTCATGTTTTTAAGAAGGTCTGAAGATATTTCATACCTCTAGAAGTTTAGAGATAGGGAACTGCACATCTGAACTGCTTTCTGTAACTGCCATGACATTGGTATCTATCTCTAGGCAGAGAACAAAACCCTGCATCTTCCCCTTTTCAACTTTACATTACTGTTTCTTCAGTGTCAGGGTGTAATACAGTAGTGTTCTAATGGATAAGCTTTCAAATGACATCAGATATATAATAATTCCTGGCGGTCTGTTTAGAGGAATAAAACCTTAAATGTACAGACTTTTATTCTGCAAATGGATTGTCTATAAATCATGTAGAGACATAGATTATACTGCCAACAAATTAAATAAATTGTATACTCTAGTCTAACAACACAATATAAACATTTGCTTGAGACAGGTCAATGGCAAGTCAACAGATTTCAGAATTATTAATTTTTGTTCATATGGATATCAACTAATGTTTATTTGAAATTATAATGATCAATTACTTGTGCTGATTTAAAGGGAAACCCCAGAAAGCTTATCTACTTCTAAACAGAACCGGTATAATGAAGTTCTAAAAGTTACCTCCTTGACCAAGACAGTATTTTTCCCTACTTGAAAGAAAACACCAATTCCCAGAAAACACAAACCCTGCTGTAAGGGAAAGCATTTCTAGAAGTATTCTGATATACTACTATATACTTTAATATAACTCAAATCAGGAAAAAAAATAAGTTATTAAAAACTATGAACAAGCAGTAATAAACTTAGAAAAGATGCTAAGATCAAAATAATTTGGTTGTAATTTGAGGGAAAATAGCTTTTTTTTTTAATTTCAGACTAACTGTAAAAAATTTAGGTATTAAATAACCAATGTATTAAAAATAATATACCTACTTGCCAGTGATGGTCCTCCAAAGCTTTGCACCTGCAATTGTAGGAATGTAAGATGAAACACCATGCACTAAACCAGAAAAAATATTATTTTTTTTCTTTATTCATAAGGAACGTTCAAAATTGAGACAAAATTACTAAGGAAATGTCTGTATCCGTCAAATAGGAAGGGTATCTTACAGTAACAGTTCTTGAATTGCTTTCTGTAAACTTAACATACCAGTAAAAAACATAAATGGAAAAATCAGTATCTTCTATGGCTACATTTCCACATGGAAGGATGTCATGAAGAAGATAACCAGCGTAACTTATGCTTTACATCTACACACTGTCAACTACTTTCTACATTCCTTATGAATCTGTAATAGTCTTGCCATCTAGTGGTTGGCTGGAAGTGTGAAGCAGCTATACAGAAGTGTTACTTTGGGAAGAACTTTTTTCTGCTTTTTGGAGTGGCGCTTCATTGATTTCAAGTCACTAACACAAGACTTCCACCACGTTACTTCAAGAACCTGATTGTTCTTGAACTCTGTGTATCATGACATCAAAGATAAAGATTATTACTAAAGATTATTGTTACAGTAAATTCTGTAAGCTGGGAAAAACAGGTCTTCCTAGCCTCATCTCTATAATGAATGGTTAAATAATCACACAGACACGAGAGCGGTGCATCTTGAATTGGGTCAATACAAAAATATTAATTACAGGTAAGAGTGAATTTACCTAAATCATTACCTTCCCACTACTGAGGTAATCAATGTTTGTGGTGATTTATACAACACAGAGCTTAAAAAATTAATTTCTGCTACACTTTACAATTTGGCCTCTGAGCTTGTAATGGTCAAGCAGGAAACAAAATGGTAACCAAGACTCCCAGAAAAGGCAATGAGAATAAATCATGCTTCAGAAAAGGCTGCAAATAATTGCCATAACTTTGCAGGGAATAACAGGCTTTGGAAGTTAGAAATGATGTGTTAGTACATCAAAGAGGAATACCATGCTTCTCTGACACCTATTTCCTGCTTTTGTACTATGTTCAGATGATTTTTCAAACACTCTGCATGGGATTCAACATTGAATAAAAGGTAAAATAAGATACTTGAAAAAAATCTTCCCAAGAATGAAAATTACAGACTTGTGATGAACATTTTCTCAAAGAATTTGCAAGATGGTAATGAAATACAGGACAGGAATTAAAAAAAACCAAACAATCTCAAAACACCAGCCCAGCCAAAAAAAAGCAAAATCACTTTCAAAACTGGTTGTATCCATGTAAGACTTTATACACACTGGAAACTAAATGCTACATAAAGCAGAAAAAAGTACTGCTCACTTCTTATTTCAACTGTGCTAAAACAGGTTATTTCTCTACCTTTTTACAAATGTGACCAATTTATATTGGATGTCCCAAACTTTCCAACAATGATATAATTAGAATAATGCCAGAAGAAGTATGAATGTTTAGGAAAACTCTGTAATTTAGAAAATAATTCATTTTCAGACCTAGCAGTTAAGAAACAAGAGTGATTGTTCAGTGATACCAATTATACTCATCCAAATGCTAAAAGAAATCTCCTAATGCCCTTCCTATAAAATACAGCAAAACTTCATTGAAAATGGTAATAGACCACCATAGACCTATTATCCCTCTCTAAAATTACCTAATACTTTTAGAATAATCATAATATCGACCTGGCTTTAGTAATGAAATAACATGCCCCAAATTGCAGGTGTTTAAGCATGGAACTCTATCAGTACACTGTCTTACCTTTTATCCTCGAGAATACCAATTCCTTCATGATCTGAAGAATTAGCACTCCAAGTATTATGAGAGAAGTTAGGTGATACACTCTCCAAGAGGTCAGTGCAAGAAACCTAGAATGTCAAGAACAAATAAATGTTGAATACTTTTAAACTTATTGGCAGCATATGAAAACTCACAGCTGCTACTAATACTGAAAAAAATAAACCGAGATTACATTAATTGAATTTAGTTTCTCCCCACAACCTTTCCACGGGAAGCAAACATTGAGAGCTTGAAGCATGACATAGTCTCATTTAAAGATACAATGATCAAACATACATTAAGTTTGTAGTATACTTTTATTTAAGCACAGAGCATAGAAAACAAAATATTTTAATTATTGCATAGAAACATTACTTTTAAATTAATTATGGTTTTATTAGCATAAATTGTCTTGGCACAATGCACACAAAAAAGGTTGAACATTTTCTTGTGTTTCCTACAGAGTTTGTGTTCAAACACGATTTCTATACAATTCATTCTTTCAAATACAACGACGAGGTAAATCTGTATCATGGCATCATATTCAAAACTGTCTTCATAACAAGCTTTTGTGAATTTTGTTTTTCATTACATAATTTTTTAGAACATGTCTAGTCAAGTCAAACAGACCTACACTCAGAATGTATGACTTATAATCTCATGCACTGTTGACTTTACTGTCCAGGTGTGCTTGGAGATTAGCTCTTCTATCTCTTTTACTGACAAATATCTTAACACACAAAAAAAAGGGTGTGATAGAAAAAGAATTAAAATTCAATTAAATACATAAAATAAGCAGAAGTATTTATTAGCTTGTTTCAAGCACTTTAAATCAGAAATCTGAATACAGATAATGAACAAATTAATATCTTTTTTAAAGTAAAAGCAATTCACTTAAAAAGTTGAGGACAGCCAAAATCAGTAAGAAGCCACTGTTCAAGGAACTAGATCAAATGAGAATACCAACAGAAACAAAATCATACAAAGCTGGGACGTTTCCAAGAAACTTCTCAGATTTGAAAACAGGGTAACTGACCACTCAATGAGCTGCTGCTGCAGAGATTTTCCGCAAGAAAGAGGGGGAAGGGAAGAGAAAAGGAGTAGCAAGCATGGCCAATGGAGGAAGCCAAGAGAGACCCTTTGAGGACACTTGGATTTTTAAAAAGAAAATTGACTTCCCAATGTTTCTAACAAGCTCAGGACACACTGGTGTTGTAGAAAACTGTTCCAGTATGCCTTGCAATCCTCAAAAAGCAAGGCTGCATTAAAAAAAAAAAAAAGAGTCCATGCCACTAATTTTCACATTTAACAGAAATCCCTATCTGCCCTGAGCAGGTCAGGATGTGATTTCCAATACACACAAACACACAAGCTCACTCTTAAAGTTTTACCTGAATATAAAGGGTTTCTACATCTGTGGAAAATTTGAATTATGGGACTATTCTATGAAAAAAACCCCTGCACCCCTGTATAATTTCAGTCAGCTCAAGAAAACTAACAGAGAACTACAGAGAAAAATTATTACAAGGTAAGCTCTTTCAAAGCTGCCCAATCACAGTTCATTAAATCAAAATTCCTAACAGCTTTGCAGCCTGTTGTTCTACTATTTTTCTAGGTAATTTTATTCAGCATTAAAAATCCTTGATTTTAAGTTCAACTGCACTGAAGACTTTGTTTAGCCTACTTAACTTATTGATAATGGGCTGAGGCGAGAGATGTGACACTGTACGGAAAAATCAAGTGAAGAATTTTTCATCCAACTCCTAGGCAGCAGAAGTTTATAACAAATGCAGGCCTTTAAATTATTTAGGCTTAATACCATACCTATTCTATAGGTTTTTCCTGGTGCTTGTGCATGAATGTTTTATAGAATCACACAGTATGCCCTGACTTAACAATTACCACTGGCCAGTCCTCAATGGTCTCAAAGAAATACAACAATACCAAAATTTTATGTGTGTGTGTATGTATGTGTGTATGTATACACACATTTTACTAGCTTTCCAAAGTAAGATCAGATGTTTATGAAGAAGGCTTAGTCTATCTTTCAAAGAACACACAGAACATGTTTGACCTATTTTATGCTCACAACTAAACAGCACTGCTAGTTTCACTGCAATCACAGCTGTCACCTGCTGTTAAAAACAATTGCACTAATGCAGACGAGGATTAGCAAACAAGGATTAACAAGATAGCATCCTCTCTGAAAGATGCTTCCAAGTCATGTCATTCTACGTTCTTGATACTGCAGTCTTTCTGCTCCATAGCTTTTAAGGAAAAAAAGCTAGTTGGAGTAGCTATTGTAGTCACCAAACAAGGGCTCTTCACTCGTTTGGAGAGCTCTGAATTGTTCTGACTGGACTTCCCATGCCTCAACATTATCAGCTGTCACAGTCCTTTCTCCCCTGCTTCAGTACTCTTCATCTAGACTCTGGTGTTTGCAAGAAAGACCATCCCTTACGAATTTATTCACAGCCAGCATGAGTCAGCCCTCAGGTGCCACAGCAATACAGATTAGAAAACCTTTTGGTATGTCAGATCTATGTCCTTGAAGCCCTTCCTGGTGAAAAGCTGATAAGATCCCTTGTACTTTTTTTGGCATATATGTCTATCATAACATTTTCAAAAGGTTAGTCCAACATGCTGGGATCTGAAAAACACTTGTTTTGCCTCCAGTGTCAGGATTCAAAATTCTTCTAGGAATTATCAACATGACACATAGCAACAAGACTAACAAAAGGTTCCACTGGTACTTTTGCTTACTATTAAGAGCTAGGGCATTTTTTTCCTCTTCTTTTTTAAGAAAAAGAACTGACTTTACTCTTAAGTACTTCTAATGCATCCCCCCCACACCCCTGATAAATTGAAAGGCTCCAGAATGACATCTTTTTTTACTCCACAAAAGTACTTCTGTTTTGTAGAAGAATCAATAGCTATGCTTACTCAACATGGCCTGTTTTTAAGCAATAACCAAAACAGACTCAAGTTCAAATTGTTTAAGTTCTTCTGCAAGTGATGTGGAAGTAAAAACCATTACAAGACACATAACCAAGATTTGTTCCTTTGTTCCCCCATGGAATTCTGCAGTATTTTTGAGGGTTTGGTGGGTTTTTTTGGTTTTGCCTTTTTTTTTTTTTTTAATTTTTTTTTTTTTTTTTTTTTTAAGAAGGAGAAGGTTAAAACAATGTATAGAATTATCCATTTCAGATAATTACTTCAGCAGTTAACAGGGCAGCTGGCATGGCAAGGGGGCAGGAAACTCTGCTAAAGGCAGTGCAGAACTGCAAAAAAAATGGTCCTGAGGTGGCACAGGACTCAGCCCCCAGCACTGGCTGAAACAGGTACTCCCCGCATAGAAAAGGCCTTCACTCAGATGCAGCTCCAGAGGTGGGATACAGCCACCTGGCTTTGAGGCTGCAAGAAAAGCCTCTCCCCTGGACTGATGGCAAAAGTGGCCTCACTGTGAAGGGTGTCCTCTAGTTAACATACAGAGCAGTCCAGTGAGAGAGCTACTGGAGGCACTAAGCAGTGGCAGACCCCTAGGGAGTATGACTTGCAAAAACTTTATTGTGTAAGAACCTGAGCAACGTGTTCTAACTGGACCTCATTTGATCAAGTCAGACTAGCTGACCTGCTGTTGTCCTTCCAACCTATGTTCTTCTATGTCGAAAGAACATAAGCATGATGGAGCCAAGTCTACTACTCAACTCCATTGTGGAAGACTGAAAAACCAGTTTTGGGAAATGAAACAGGAAAGCTATCAGCTATTGGCTGTTAGGATAATTAAGCAGTGGTTGCCCACAGAGGTCGTGGAATTTTCAGCCTTGAAGGCTGTCAAACAAACCCCTGAGCAACCTGATCTGAATTAATATTGATTTTATTTTGAGCTGGAAGTCACACTAGAGACCTCCTGAAGTCCCTACCAACCTGAATGATATCTTCATTCTATGACTATCTTAGTCTATTAGAAGTGGCTGGCAAATCCTTTTCAGTAAGACCTTAGAACTTTGAGGTATAACAGTTTCTGTTTCTGGGCCTAGTTATACTGCAGCTGGACTGAAGTGATTCTAAACTGCACTATTAAGAGTCAAAACTTAAGAACTTCTACAATTAAAAGTGGAATTTCTTCGACTGTATAATGGTGGACTCTTTCTATTGTGGTTTTAAAATAATACATGTATTGAGATTTTCTGGGAAAGAAACCCCAAACAACCCACAACCATTATGAAATTACACTGCAAACTACTCTACCTTCTCTTCAGCATTTCAGTCATTTTCATTTCTTCCTACCTAAAAAGTAGTACAAAATAATTTTCTTAAATTACATAACTCAACTTTTCTTAGCAAGTTATGCTTTCTTATTTTTAATGTCACACCAATACATATGCCTTGCCGTTAATCTCTACTGCCTATTCAGAAGTAGCTAAATTCAAACATAACCCTTTCAGTATTTTGCCAACTTCCATATTTTTCTAAAATATTGTTTAAGTTCAAGAATCATGCTCTAAGAGTAAAAAAAGTAATATCTTTTTGACCAGCTTCCCATAGCTAGGAAGTTTGGATGGAAAGAAAAAATGGGACAGAAAATACAAATGAAATCCCAATGCAAAAGCAAGACTGTACATAGCAGAAGAGCACCACATTAAATTAATGATTAGGCCTCATATGGTTAGAGGGCTCCTTTACTTGCTCCTGGAGGTGATATTGCCTAATATCACATGACCTATAGATAGAAAAGTACCCTAAGGTATCTTGTCCTTGTCTTTTCTCCAGCTTTACTCCAGTAGGGGCTGGCCATATATCAATACTGGCAAGACATATTAACTAACATAACAAATCATTCATTGGATTTGATGTATCAAGAAGCAGCTACTTCACAGCACAGAGCACCTGGGACAATTAACTGCACAAACCAGATTGTACAAAGGCATTCAAGTGGCACAAGCCAGCTAAGAAATTTCAAAGGTAAACGATATCATACAGTATCGCAGCCTGTAAACATAATGAACTTTTATAGGGCGTGACAAAAAGCTATTTTTAATTGTACTCATGAGATACAGGTAAGGCTGTCTTTAATTTCTTTAAAAGT